GATGGAAATTCTGCTCCCAAGTAGGGTTGTGTGATTCACCGCGGGGGCGGGGGCGGGAGCGGAACGAAGCTTGCGGTCCTCCACCGCTGTAGGCTGCTGTTTGCTGGCCCCGCTGGTGTCTGCGAGGGTTTGCAGCCTCCTGAGCGGTTATCACCAGGCTGTTTTTTTTGTTGGCGCTTGGCGAGAAGTTCCTCTCTCCAAAGGGAGGGTCAGCCTCTCTGATCGGAAAATGCTCTGGGTTTTCTCCTGGGGCGGAAGACGCTGTTGAATTTTGATTCCCCCTGTTCTGGATGCTGCTTTTTCCGGGCGGAGAAGCAGTGATGCCCTCACAACTATTAAGAGAGATTCCTCCCTTATTTAATGTTAGATGTTGCCTATGAATTCGAACAATTGTGAATTTACGAGTAACCCAGAAAGCAGATGTGCTTGATTTTATTTTTAATTTAACCTCAAATGGAATGCTGTGATTTTTATCTAAATCATAATTCATTTTCCCGTTTGCTGGAAGTTTTCCTGCATAGTTGGTTGAATTTGCTGTGGTGGAGGATGCATTAAAAAAATATAAAATGAAATATAAAAGCATAGCTGAAAAACTAATCCAGATAGTTCACTACCGGCATTTAGATATATGTATATTCAGGACTCCTACAAATATTTGGAAATTCTAATTCTCTTGATCCCACAAAGCATTTCCAAATATATACTCTTTTAATATTCTGAATCTGTGCATGTATATTCTAATGCAAATCTAAACCTTCACTCATTTGCTCTCAATTTTTTAATTATTCTAGTTCAACCTGACTACAAACTCAAGTTTTTCTATTAACGTGATGTCTTTGAATAAATTTGACTTTTTTGTATGAAATCTGTCGATACATTGCTAGCAAATAGGTAATGAGCACTGTTATGTTACAATTCTGTTATAATCGGTTGTTCTTGCTTTTATTGCCTTTGTTGGTTTTAATCCTACACGTAGTCCTCACTTAACGACCATTCATTCAGTGACTGTTCAAAGTTACCACAGCACTGAATAAATGGTAATTACGGCCCGTCCTCAAAGTTACAGCCATGCAGCGCCCCTACAGTCACGTGATTAAAATTTGGGTGCTTGGCCTCCTGCCCAGATTTACAGCCACAGTGTGTGCTTCAAGTCCCCCCACCTATCTCCCCCACCATCTCTGTCCTTTTGGGCACCATGCATTCCACTGCAGCCACCTACCCCTGCCGCCACCTCCAGCTGCTCTTCGCCTCTTCTTCCTCCCGCTGCTGATGAGGTGTGCCTGGCCAAGGCAGCTACTGGCCCTCCATGAGGCCTTGCAAAGGGCCAGCAGCTGCCTCAGTCAGGTGTGTCTTGTCAGCAGCAGGAGGAAGAAGAGGCGAAGGGCAGCTGGGGGCAGCAGGGGTAAGTGGTGGTGGAGTGCAGGCTCCCAAAAGGGCAGAGAAGGTCAAAGCAGAGGTGAGAGTGGCAGGGCAGGAGAAGCGTGAAGTCCTCACCTAACAACTGCAACTGGGCTACTGGAACTGCCATCACTAAGCAGTGCAGTCACATGATGTTTTACCTAGTGACCACTTTGCTTAGCGATGGAAATTCTGCTCCCAAGTAGGGTTGTTAAGTGAGAACTACTTGTATGTTCATTGCTCTGAGTTGCAGTTGCAAAATAGGTGGCTATAAAAATCGGATAAATGGTTTTAGTACCTGTGAATTGCACTCTTCCAAGTTTCAGGTTCTTTGGGCCTCTGATAGAATCTTTAAGGAAATTTGTTTTCATGAACTTTATCTACTTTACAGATTTTAAAAGATGGATTTGGCCAACCATGGACTTATTCTTCTACAGCAGCTTAATGCTCAGAGGGAGTTTGGTTTCCTGTGTGACTGCACAGTTGCTATTGGTGATGTGTACTTTAAGGCACACAAATCCGTCCTTGCCTCTTTTTCCAACTACTTCAAGATGTTGTTTGTTCATCAAAGCAGGTACTATATATATATAGATATATAAAATTACTGTAAAATTTCAGTTAGTTGAGCTAAAACTGTCTAGAGAAATTGCCAAACATTTAGTATGGAGTTCCTTTACCCACCTTAATAAGTAACCTATAGTGCAGTCTGCAGATCATTTAAGGCAATTATAATTTAAGCCTTGCTAACTTCATTGGTACTTGGTTTATGACCCAGACTCACCCACTGTAACCCTGAAGATGTTTCTTTAAGGATAAATTACAATTTCATTATTGGCCAGGGAACTGAGTGTTAATGTACCCACCCATCCCATTCCCAGGAGGAACCCAACTTACTCTTTAAATTGGCCATAGGAGAAGCTATAAAGCTTTCTTAGTCCTTTCCAGTCAGATTGTGAATTCAAACGCAACACATAGTGAAATCATCCATCAGCTGAGAGAAGTTAAGGCTACCAGTTGCTGTTCAGAGAAGATAACCAGTAAGGAGAGATCAGCCTGGCCTGAGCTGGATACAGATGTCAAAATGAGCTTGAAGAACTGTTTGCCATCTGTATTTCTCATCCTTTTCTCTTGTGTGCCTTGCCTTTTTAAATAGTAACCCTGAAGGTTGGCCTGCTTCTGTTTTTGTTGTGAGTCACTTTAAGAAGTAATCATTGTCTGAAATGGAATAAAAACATGCCGCATGAAAAAAATAGAATGATTTAATCACCGACTTCATTCACAGCAGTTGAGATTACAGATATTTGTGACAAGCTGAACAGATGTCTATGGTACATTTTGTTCCCCTATGCATCAGTATTCTTCATCTCCAGTCTTTACTATTAGGAGATTCAGAAACAGGAACTGTGTTCCATTTGTTTATTCCTGGCAGCTGAAAGTACTGAATTCTTCAAGAAGTCACGAACATTTGATTTATAAAGATATGCTGTTAACACACTCCTATGCTCCATTCAAACAAATTGTGTATCTCTCAGATGCATAAGGTCTGCTGTTAAATATATTTAAGGACTTGTTGAAGAGTTGGCTGTAGAGACCCAGGTCCTCATTATTAAATATTATGTATCTGTGAGAATGGAACACCTCAGCTGATTCCTAAGGGATCAAATAAGTGGCAAATCCCAATTGTCTAAATATAGGAAGTTTTGTATTTCATTTTTGATGCTTAAGTGTTTGTGTGGTACTATTAGCTACTGCATTCATTTGTACTTCCTGAACCAAATAACTTTTTTAAAAAAATCAAATGTGTTACAGTGTTATTTCCCTAAAACTGGCTTAGTGCAAATTGTCTTTTATTTCTTCACATTGAAATCTGAAGGGACAGCAAAAGCAACTCTCAATCATCTTTTAAACAAGTATTGCAATAAATACACAATATTCCTTAAGTGATTATCTTTAATATTGTAGCACAGTCCTATACCTAATTACTCAGAAGAAAACTCTGCTGAGGTCAGTGAGACTTACTTCCTTATCAGTATGTATTAAAGGGATGGATGGCCCACAGATTGCTTGTGACCCTCTGTTGGAAGACCTGAAGGCAGTTCCCAGACTCCCTACCATCTTGTTTGCCTATGTTGATGCTGCAAAAGTATTTCCATGATGAAATTGCTGTATTTCAGTGGGTGCAGAAATGTAGTGACAGTGAGCAATATGCAGAGGGAGGGAACTATTCTGTGTATACATGTGTAAAGAGGAGGAAAGCTCGTGCTTTCTGGGCCCCAAGGTCTGCTCACTCCTGGCATATAGGGGATAACACTTTCAGTATTGCTGCCTTGAATAAATACTGTTATACACCTTTAGACGTTTTCTCCCCTTTTTCTTCAATAACATTTTAACATCTTTTTTTGCAGTGAATGTGTCCGTTTGAAGGCAGCTGACATACAGCCAGATATTTTCAGTTACCTCTTGCATTTGATGTACACTGGAAAGATGGCACCTCAGCTGATAGATCCCGTTCGACTAGAGCAAGGGATAAAATTCTTGCACGCTTATCCGCTGATTCAGGAGGCTAGTCTTGCCAGCCAAGGAAACTTTGCACACCCAGAGCAAGTTTTCCCATTGGCATCGTCATTATATGGTATTCAAATTGCAGATCACCAAGCAAGAAATCCCACAAAGGCAGTGACAGCACCTGACAAGCCTTTGCGAGAAGCACGGCCCCAGCTTTCGAGAGTGAACCAGGAACAAGTGCATGAAGCCTCCCAGCTATCCCAGATACCACCGCCAAGTTTGCCTCAAGTGCCCCCAACAAATATGGCTCCCTCTGACCCACTGCAGTCTTCACTGTCTCCAGAGTTAGTATCAGCTGCTTCTCATCCTTCGCCAGGAGATGAAACTAATATGGAAGCCTCTTCCTCAGATGATCAACCTGCCTCCCTCACAATAGCACACGTTAAGCCAAGCATAATGAAAAAGAATGGAAGTTTTCCCAAATATTATGCCTGCCACCTTTGTGGTCGACGTTTCAATTTGCGAAGTAGCTTACGTGAGCATCTCCAAATTCACACAGGAGTGCCCTTCGCATCCAACCAGCATGGAGAGAGTAGCATTCCCTTATCTCTTTGTAATAATGCTCCTGAAAAAGATGCCATGGAAGTGCCTGAAGCTGGAATGATCAGTGACAGTGAGCTGCAGCAGATCTCAGATTCACCAATAATTGACGGGCAGCAGCAAGCAGAAACCCCTCCGCCCTCCGATATCGCTGATATCGACAACTTGGAGCAGGCAGACCAAGAAAGAGAAGTGAAAAGGCGAAAGTACGAGTGTTCCATTTGTGGACGCAAATTCATCCAGAAAAGCCACTGGAGAGAGCACATGTACATACATACTGGCAAGCCTTTCAAGTGCAGTACTTGTGACAAAAGTTTCTGCCGGGCCAATCAGGCTGCTAGGCATGTATGTCTCAACCAAAGCATGGACACCTACACCATGGTGGACAAGCAGACTCTGGAGCTCTGTACCTTCGAGGAAGGCAACCAAATGGACAACCTGTTAGTGCAGACCAACAAACCCTATAAGTGCAACTTGTGTGACAAGACATTCTCCACGCCTAACGAAGTTGTCAAACATTCTTGCCAAAGTCAGAACTCTGTTTTTACTTTGGAAGAGGAGAGGTCCATTCTGCTAAGCGGGGGAGATGCTGAAACCACAGAGAGTGATCATTCAGTTTTAGACTCTATCAAAAAAGAACAGGAAGCAGTATTGTTAGACTGACTGTGAAACTTGTTTTTTTAAAGAAAACGTTACGTTTGTTTTATTCATATTTTTTTATTCGACTTATCTTCCTCCCCTCCCCCCCACCATAACTACACTGACATGAAAGGAAGTCTGATTCTGTCCCTTTTCCCAGTAAAAGCCTAACATTAATAAAGGGTATTATATCAAATTGTAACTATTGATTTTAATGGATCCCTACCAGATCCTATAAACTATGCTATGGTGATAAAATGGTTCAGTAACAGGACTGTAAACAATTTGAAAGACTGTTTAATTATGCTTGAGTGCACTGAGAAGTGAGGTGAGAAAAAGAAAGTAAAATGTATGTTGGTCAAGTTACAATTGTTTATTCTCACAACCAATTACCTGTTAGAAGAAGACTAGTTAAAGAAATGGAATTCCCCAAGTTAAATGCTTATAGTTATGTCTATTAGTCATTTTACAAATGCTCAGAAATTCCGTTAATGGAAGCAAGGATCCATTTTTTTTAACCTGCACTATTTTTGACAAATGTTTATTTCCAGATCAGTCAATTGATATTATGTCCATTCACAAAGTGTATGACTAAGATTATGACCCCAAGCACACTTGAGTTGGCAGTAAATCCCATCCGTGGGGCTCAAACTTCCAAGCAAAATGTGCTTAGGTTCAGATTTTACTAAAATAGCAGTAATAATGTGATGGCAATCGTTTTATATGCATAATGTGTGTGCCTGTGTGCATGCACAAATGTATGTACTTCAGGCAAATGTATGCATGCACCCTTTTCAAAGAAATTGACCACTGGTTTTGAACAACTGAACAGTTTTTAACATCAGAGAAAAATACTCTTTTTAGAAGCATATTTAAATTGCACCAGGCCATATGAATATTTATATCTCATTGAATGGAAAAAAATAATGTTGAAGTGTATTATCACTCAAAACCTGAAAGAAATCAATGAGAAGAAGTGTACATGGTAGTCCTTCTACCTAACTCCCTCTGGGAGTAACAGTTTTCAGCCCGTTTTGAGATGCAGAAAAAAGGAAAAACAATCAAAGCAGTCATCTGAATTTACTTGATTAATTTGTGAAAATTAAGAGAAATAGAATCTGATCTTAATGATATTTAATTACTGGCCTCCTTTTATAACAGAGCAAAATAGAAGAATGACAAAATTGTATCATGGTTGGTTTTCAGGTAACAGTGGAACTTCAAGTGGCAACCTCTTTGTTCTTTATGTTACATTTTCTTAGGTTCCAGTCTAGCAAAGTATGAAACAAATAAAGGGGACACATTGTACAGTCACTTTGCTATGGACAGTCTACCCACCAATTCAAAATCAAGTTGTTGATTTTTATCTTTATATATAAATAATACGGATATTCTCCAGTAGCCTAAAAAACCTAAATTGACACAAGTGTTTTGTAAAATCCCACCAGAAATGCAGGCAAGTATTTTGATGGGGGAGAAAGGGGAGCAGATACTGCTCTGCTCTTGTATACATGTTTTGTTTAAGTATCATCCTATTTTGTGTCTAGCTATGTTCTCCAGTTTGTAAGTTTTTATACTTTATTTCACAGAATAAAAACGGTATAAAATTTTGATTTTTGTCAAGTCAGAAGTGATTTATCATATTCCATCCCTGCACATATGGTGCAGACCTTTGAACTCAGGACTTCCAACATGACAAAAAGGTCTCTGGCACTGATACTGGCAACTAATTCTGTGCTGAAGCAGGAGCAGCAATCGGTGCTGGAGAAGCAAACCTTGTGCAGCTCAGGAACACTACACAATTAGGTGTATAACAACACATGGCTGTCCTTGGATTCTTGTGACCCATCTTAAACCTGTATTTCTGCAATTCAAACTCAATTCTAATAATGGGCATGTGAAATGTAGCTGTCCTACCATGAGGCGATAAGATTGGGCAATAGGAAAGTGTGATACATTATTAAGTATCTATCAAGTGAAGTTACAGTTCAGAAATCTAGAAGAGAAGTCTTCGGGGTTCATATTTTAAGCACAGGATTTAGGAGGGTGCATGGAAATAGCCACGCACGGTTAGCAGGGTTTAGCTTACTTCCTAAATAAATGGAAATGTTCCGGTTCCCCTTGCCATCAAATTATTGCCATCTGCATAGCTGAGGATAAGCAACCTGTAATGCTCCACATATGGTGGGTCAGCAACCCCCGTTATCTTCAGCTTATTCACACTGGTTAGAGCTAATTGGAATTGAAGTACTACATCATAGGGAGGGCCATGCAGGACCATCCCCTTCTGGTTATACAGATATGTGACAAGGGTGGAATTCCCAGTAGGCCCACAAGATCACATCAGTAGTACAGTAGCTGTATTTCAGCCAAGAGCAATTTTCCCCATGCTGGCTGATAATTATGTCAATTGTTCCAGCATAGCTCTGGGAAAGGCTGACGTACAGACCAAGTGGCAGATAGCAGGCAAACCTTTCGCGGGTACACTGCCCTATGCTTGTTAGGGACTTAAGAAATTAAAGCCAGTGGTCCTAAGAGTTTCATTCAGTCTATGCATGCAGCAGAAGCCAACTGTCAAGATGGGCTGTTTCAGACTACAGTTGTGGGTATCCTTTGCTTGGCTCCACTAAACAAATAAAACCCCTCCAAACCTGTTAAAAAACTAAACCTATATCCTATAATCTGGCTATATGACAAGATTTGAGAGCTTTCAGCTTCAAAATGTTAATTGCAATTTAACAGCACAGTTCCATGTGTGTTAAGTTGCATCCTAAATTAGTTATATTTGGTGGGATCCGGTTTCATGACAACTGATCTTGTTCTTAGGTGATTATTGGAACCAAGTAATATTCTCTCATATTACTGGGTTCATTCAGTAAAGGTGTCTGAGGTAGACAAAATCTCTCGAAATGATCAGTGGTGGAAAGAGTAAAAAGGTAGCAGAACAGACTGAAATGCATTTTATTTTGTGAATAGCAGAATAAAACTCAAAATCTTAATATTTGGCCTAATTATCTTCATGGTTTACATTAACTTCAGTATTTTCAGTGGCTTCCCTTTCACAGCAGCAGGAGTCAGTCTGAGTACATACTAGAAGTGATCCGAGATTTCTTTGGCCTCTGGAATTAAGACTGAAATTGAAAAATTCAGACAGATTTTACTTTGATGAAATCTTCTCTTTTGCTGAAGATCTTGGAGTGGGTGGGTAGGTGGTAGGTATTTGCCTGTCTTACAATAATGGATACAGGAAATATAATAAAATACAGGAAAAATATACAAATTCTCAATTTACTGCTAAATTTAGTTGCATATCTGGAAAAGGAGGCTGAAAAATATAAATGGAACATTAACTTCCTGAAGAGGGTAATAAATAATTTGGTGAAGACATTGTGATTGTTCACGGTGCTTTGTTAGCTGTCTTGGTTTAATTTATAACCTCAAAGCTGGATATAAGTAGTGGTCATTACTTTTTTCCATCAAAAATAATCAACCATTCCCTCACTGAAATGTTAAAATGTGGAGGCAGGAAAAGAAAAATAAATGGAAAAATTGTTCTCTTTCCATAGCCAATATGCTCCCAAACCTATCAGATGTTACAGAAGTATTGAAGTAAAACAGTATCCCCCCCCCCCCCCCCCGGCTTATTTTCACATAAAGGCCAAGCTGCTGCACTCACTAATAAATGTGGATGAAGAATTATGGCTGTTGTACCACTGCAAAATATAGTTGCAACTCCAATGCCAAGAAATTCAGGGTAAAGGAGATAAAATAAATGCTAAAGCTTAGAAGCTAAGAAGGCTCAAACCTAGTTATAACATGGATGGGAAACTACTAGGGGATTTTAGCCATACTGCTGCCAAGAAAACTACATGGACTCATCCATATGATTGTTAAACCTGAAGGAGTATTTATGCCAAGAAAATTTCATCACATTAGTGTTATTTGTTCCACAACAATAACTATTAATTACCAAGTGATCAGGTTCCTTTCTGTTCTTCAAAATTAGCCAAAATGTAATAATGTTTCATAACATCACTAAAACACAGAATCATTACCCTGGAAATCATCTTGGGCATTATGTATTATATGTGCTGTTACTACTGGCAAGAGCACAAGGAAAGCAGCCTCAATTTATTTGGCTGGTGGGGATCAAAGATGACAATTGTTACCTATTCTAAATATAAATATCTCTTGATCCTAAAACTGCATACTTAAACGTTTCTTAATTAGTATGGAATCTACTTCAAAACGATTCCATCCAGAACTGCATAGGGAAAGACCTCCTAAAAACTTGGTGCCACCATCAAATTGAAACGGCCCGAACAACATCTCTATCTGCCATTTACCAAGGAGTTTCGGAACTGTAGGCAGAGCTTTAAATAGTTCTCCAGATGTTCTTGCTAGACCATTAATGTATTTAACCCAACTGGTGCATGTTGTCCTGAATAATGGTGTGATTTTATGGTCACCCCCTTTTTTAAAAGTATAAAATAAAAATCAGTTCCCTGACTAAAGCTCTGGGGGCATCCAAAATCATTCTGCTCAAGCACAGATCCCGGTACTGCAATTCCATAGGCACCACACCCCCAAGAAATCACAACACAAGAATGAACTATTTGCATTTTATTTAGTCCATGAAAATCTACCTTAAAAACAACATAGAAAATCAAAATATAATTAATCCAATACAACGGATTAGAAGAAACTGCAAAAGCTTGGAGTTGTGGCACAAGCTAAAGTTTGCAGCATTGTCTAAGGATTTTTGAGGCCAAAGCAATACACTGTAACAAAGCGGTATCTGTGTGTGGAGGCATGCTCCCTGCACCATGACAAATTCTTTTGGTGCCTTGTGGTTTGTTTTGAGAACATTAGTTACAAGAAGAATGACTGGTTATATGATTTATGATCTGGGCAACACTTAGAAAGGCCACAGGTCAGGATCTTTTTTAAAAAGTCCCCAAATTAAGCACTTGTTCCTCAACTTCTAGTCAGTGACCATTGTACATTGTGATTACCAGATTTTATTTAAATGACGTTTAACTTCACATAGTTATCAACAACCTTAGAGTTATAAAGGCAGATATAAGGATAAAATCCAGGATTACATAGGTTATGCCACTGCTGTGTTTTGCATTATTGTTTCATTTGTTGCAGCTGTTGCAATATGGCTTTCCACACACAGATTATCGTTTGTATAAATAACTGGTTTCCCATTTGCTGTTAAAACTGTGTTGTAAAATTAAAGCAGCACTAAAAAATCTTATTTTGAGGCCGGTTGTACATAAGAAACCTTCTTTCCTCATCAAGCAGATCACGTAAAGAAAGTCTGTCAGGCAAGAGAGAATTCCAGAAATGGCGGGGGGCGGGGGGGTAGATCAGAGCTTACAATTTCAGTAGATATATTGAAAAAAATACACATCACAGGAATAATGTCATCTGAGTCTTACTCCTGCCTCTGCCTCTTCTTTTGGAGGACGCTTTCTCCCCAAGAAACATCCACGTGTTTGCCTGAAGAGAAAAAGCTACTTGTACAAGTAACCTAGCAAGTTGCTTGTAGGTATTTGCACAGTCAGGACAACTAACTGGTCATGCTGATGCTGATGTCCACACGACCATGTGTAAAAGCTTGCTCACACAGGCTCTTCCCCTGCAGCTGGCCATACACGTGTGTGGCAATCTGTAGCTAGCATGTCTGAGGACAACGAATTAGGATGAGGGGTACCAATTATTCAGGTGATATTTTCTTCATATGAACAATCTATAAAAAGAACTAATGAAAGTGAGAAACCTAACATCTTGCACCCAGAACAAAATTTGTAATTAATGCTTAAGATGGGGAAGATGATGTTATTAAAAAAAACACAAGTAATGTGGGGACACCCATTACTGAACACTTCACACTTTTTTGTACATGTTATAGGCACACAAATAGAATATCTAATTGATCCAGCAACAAGCTCCCACTTGTTTCCATCTTAGACTAAATTAAACCTTTTCACCTCTTCTATCATATTAAGGAACTGTGAGATGACAAGGCAGAAGTCCAGAAGGAGACCCATCTGTGTATATATACCACCAACTTTCAAGGAAAAAAGCTCTAAGGAGGCTACAGGCTGACTTATTCATTGGTTTTGAAAGATAAAATAACCTTCGTAAAATACCACTCAGCCGGAGTGAAAAGACTGTTTCATTATGCTCCTCTGTCGTGTCTCAGAAAGAAAGAGCCCATTACCTAACCATTTGATACTAGCAGCATATGCAAGCTTTTAATTTTTTTAGATTTGAAAAGAAATGTGTACACACAGTAGGATGAAGAAGTTACTTTTTGCTGGAAGATACTACTTTCACATTTTCAAATACTTTGATGAGGCCAATGTGTTGGAGAAAAGACCAGACTTTTTCATTACTCCAACAGAGATGAGGAAAGAAAGAGGTCAAATTGAATTTCCAGAGGGATGCTCTTTGGCAGGTTCAGGCTAGGTTGGCCATTCTGGCCAGAGAGAAACCACTCACTGCTGATATGACCTCTGCTTGCCTTTGGCACCACTTAATATATTCTGATGAGGAGACAGGCCAGTAAATGAAGTTACTAGGCCTTGTTTCTTCTCTCACGGATACATTTAGAACTCAAAAATGGTGCAGAAGATTTCATTACACCAAAGTGACTACCTTTGGGTACCTGGATTCCACTGGGCCCTGTATCAGTGAAGATAATCACTGAGACAGAAAAGTTGAGCTAAGTATAGGCTAAAAGAAACAGCCATTTATAATTTAAAAAGAAATTGTTTATATCTTGACATGGGGACTTATCCAGTATACTTTTTTAAAAAAAAATTCAAAGATGCCTAGTCACCATACTTTAGATGGCTTTTTCTTTAAGAAAAAAAAAAGAAAGGCATAACATCTTTCACTTTGAATTTGCACAAATCAGCCCACTGCAGTGTCACAATGCATGCCTAAAATTGCATATTATCATTTATCATAGTTGCCTTTATAGCCAAGCTGTTCCAGATATAATGTAGGATTAATTTTAAGAAACACTTGCCATTCCATATTTTAGTTGAATAAAAGTAGTACATTAGCCAAAAGTTATCCTAAGCTATAAAATGTAGATAGTAACCACTAGATGGTGCAGTCACATCAATGATCTTTCCATTTTATTATTCATTGTGCAGCTCTTAAAAGTATGCATTTATTTGGCTCACTTGGTTCATTTTCAAATAAATTATAATACAGGCAGGATAATGAACCTGCTGGATCTTGGAAAAAGCTCAGCTGGATAGGTGTGAAGAATACAAAGTGCAATTTAATTTGACCAGCTAGACAAGCTTGGGGACTAGAAGATCAAATCCTAAATAAGTTGAGTGTTTTAATTATTATTCAGTTATTTAGCATTTGAAGGTTGCCCATTTTGTATGAACAACTTATTATGATCTCGTACTATGAACTGCACTGAACAAAACTGAGTGTCTTTACTCCAGGCTTCCTAAGTTTTCTTATAATGCATTTATTCTGAATATGAGTGCAAACCTAAATGTAAGCCAAGTCTTTATTTAAATCACTTTTCAGAAATCACAGTGTACTAAGTGTATATAAGCATCATGAAACACATTTCCTAACTGGGGACGCAAATATAGAGAAGACATAATCTCTTGTGTATTTCTTTCTTTTTATGTTATGACATGGGTATGCTGCAAAAACAAGTCTTTTTTTTAATTGACCAATTTCTTTTCTTGATGGGCTAGAAGCTGGAAAAAATGCTTGAGGTTATGATACCAGATTTTTTAAAACTGATTCATACCTCAAGATGCACAATTTCAATTTGTAACTTATTTGATTTTTAAAGATTAATCTTCCTCTCAGGTGATTCTAGCAAAAATAAAACTATATTCAGACTTGAAAGTCACAACCCACTACCAACCTAGGCAAGATTAAGAACAATGGATTGGATCTAACTTCTTTTCTGCTACTGGGAACATTCATTCTGCTCCAAATACTTTTGCTGTGGCACTATAGGGAGAAAGAGATTTCCCTTCTCCTGCAACTTTCATTATCAAGGCCACCACTATTCTGACAAGTTATCCCAATCCTCTGAGAGACACTACCAACCTAGGCAAGATTAAGAACAATGGATTGGATCTAGCTTCTTTTCTGCTACTGGGAACATTCATTCTGCTCCAAATACTTTTGCTGTGGCACTATAGGGAGAAAGAGATTTCCCTTCTCCTGCAACTTTCATTATCAAGGCCACCACTATTCTGACAAGTTATCCCAATCCTCTGAGAGACAAGCGTAGGGAACAGTAGAGAGAGGGAAGAATCAACTCAGATGATTTCCAAACTTTCCAACAACAGAATTATGATGGATCCAATTCATTGAAATCATTCTTTTTAAGCCCACTTAATTCTGCATTCAGCTATAGCCAAATTGTTTGTAACATATATAGTACAAGGAGCATCATATTTAGAAATGGCATGAAGTATGAATTAGATTTACAATTTACTAACAGATCAAGAGAAATTGTATTGTTTGGCAATGACCTTTATGAAAGCAACATTTTGTATGCACAACTTATTATGATCTCATAATAATATATATGTCATAAAACATTCATTCTCACACTCCTCCAAGCAAATGGGAAACCACTGTCAAGTTGTTTGGAGCCATCTATGGTCAGTGATGGGTCACTCATAATAGTTCCTGGTCCAGACAAGTGAGATCATTTTCTTTCATTTTTTTCTTTCATTTTTTTCACATATAAAGAAGAGGAAATATACATTAAATCAGACTTTGCTTGAAGATATACACATAAATACACAAAGAATTGCAATCCAGTTTGGGAAACACTGGTAGAAAGGGAATCTCAGAAGATGCCAACTTCCTTTCCAGATTAAGAGACTGACATCATTTCAACAAAAATACTTCCTGCCCCTGTCCCTTATCCCACCCCAATCTATGTTATCAACAACAAAAATAAAGGTAAAAGAACATTGTGAAAGGAAGCGTTCACAATCAAAACTAAAGGAGGTGGCTCAAGCTCCTGATGGTGGCTCAGGATTGTCAGGTGCCTTCCTCAGAAAAACATCTGAAAGCATGGATGTGTTCTCACTGCAAAATCATTGGTCTTCAGCCTGTTTAAGCAGAATCCATCCTCTTCTGCTACCTTCTTCAGGTACTGGTCCCTCCAAATGTAAGAAGCAGCTTTCAACAGAACTGTTGGAACAGAAGAATCAAGATGTCAGAGCATCTTAACTAGTAATTTGCATCACTAACAAATCATAATATATTATTCTATAATCAAATTGGGATGCTACCTCAAGATAAGGCAATGTTAGTTCCACTTCTGCTAATTACTGTCTAGCAATATTATTCAAACCTGCCAGATGTACATAAGTTGGAAATGTAAGTCTTGGCCAGGCAGGGGACAGAAAACTCATGTACTGTATGTATGTATGAAGGTAACTGGGGGCATTCCCCATTTTGCCCATTTAATACCACTACTTAGAAAGCTACACTGTTTGTCTGTGGTCTTCTGGATGCATTTGAGGGTGCTGGTTGTCAATTTTAAAGCCTTACATGGCTTGGAGAGAGGGCTCTCTTCAGGGCTCTACTCTGAGAAAGTGTTACCACCAGGGTCCTTGAAAGTGGGCCTTCTTTGTCACCATCCCACTTCTATTTAGCCATTGGGGCAAAGTGGATATACCTCACTGCAATTTGTGATTGTATTGAGAGAGCATTTGTTCAGTGTAACAGGATGAATGATTATAAATATTGTGTTATGGATTGTTCTAATCTTTAATATTGATATGGAGTGTACATCCCTTAGAGTTGGTTGGGATTGAAGTGGCTAATAACCCTGAGTAACAACAAGAACAAGAACAATAATAAAGTAATAGCCTAAAAGCTCACAATTTTAAAAGATGAATACAGGTAATCCTCAACTTACCACCACAATTGGGACCAGAACTTCCATTACTAAGTGATGAGGTTGTTAAGTGAGTCATGCCTGATTTTATAACCAATTTTGCTGTGGTCGTTAAGCGAATCTGGCTTCCCCCATTAAATTTGTTTGTTGGAAGCCCCCTAGGAAGGTTGCAAATGGCAATCATGTGACCCTGGGGCACTGAGACTGTTGTAAATACATGCCAATTGCCAAGCACCTGAATTTTGATCATGTGACCACAGGGAATGCTGCAACTGTCATAAGTGCAAGGATTGGTCGGATGTCACTTTTTTCAGCACCGCCATAACTTTGAATGGTCTTTAAATAAATGTTTGTAAGTCAAGGACTACCTGTGTAGATTTTTTTTAAAGGACTCGCAGCATGTTTTTCAGCTAGGAGACAAGCCGTTGTTCGTACATGAAAAGTGTATCAGACTGCTTCTCAACCATTCCTTTCCTCCTGCTCCTCTTAGATAGGAGCAATTAATACAGCCCGCATTTCTGTTTCAAGCATTCTTATTACAGGATGTGTGCTTGACTTCACATCTGAAGAGAATGCTGTAATTGGTAGTGTTGCCACTAAGGCTGGTAACCTAGTCCACACATTCTCTATTATGCTAAAATCTAAAAAAAAGTGTTATGTGAAAATCTCCACTAGCCAAAAGTATGATAGGTGATGGTGGTCAATATCTACCAGCCCATCTGGTGATAACCATACCATATGGAAGACTGCAACTTGGAATGAAATGTACGCAAAAAGTATGAACGGATATCACCAAGATTGTTGTATGTACAAAAGTAGGAGTTCACAGACTGGTGATAATTGTATTATAATGAAAGAAAAGGGCTGAGTTTGGGGAAATATAGCACAACATTATGAATGACAGGTGACATCAGGGGAAGGATAGGAATAAGGCAGGGCAGTACAGAAAAAGTTATTGAGCCACCTGAAGATCCAAGAATAAATAAATGAGAGAATTAGTGAAGGATACAAGGGTGATGAGAGATTTTGATTATAGGACAGACTATTACCAGGATTTTGGGAAAAATGGAATGGAAGAAAAAAGTTTTTTTAAAAAAACCACTATGAGAAACCAGAACAGCAGCAGTAAGAAGAGAAGGTACTGTGCAAAAAGGTAGACATATTAATCTCTCTGCAGATTTAATGGAATTTGGATGGAAAGAAACAGGATGTGGAAGCTGCTTGGAACACTATGAAAAGAATCACATGTATGTAGTTAGATTCGTGGGAAATATTTAAAAGGATGTTTTCTGGAATGATAAAGTGAAAGAGGATGTGAATGAGAAAAATCTCTTAATGTATACATAGAAAAAAATTGTTGCAAAAAATGTTGTCGAAGTTAGCCAGGAATAGTTAAGATTTTAAAAGGCAGAGAAAATGAAGAGCAATTTTAATTGAAATAAAAAGTTGTTTTGAAAATGAGCTTCCAGCAAAGTGAATAGAATTTTTTTTTAAAGTGATAATTTGGAATGAAACTCAACTGAGGGATACTGGGATGAGTATTTTAGAGATTTGCATGGGAAGGGTTCTGCTGAACTGAAACAAATGGCATAAATTGGTGAAATGGAAGTCACAAATGCAGTGAGGATGTTGAAAAATTTTAAGACTGCAGGTGCAGAGGGTGTTAACCAGAAAACTGTTAAAAATGGCTGTTCACCGTCTAACGTGTGTGAAAACTACATTGTGCCTGATGATCCTCAGTCAGCCTAATTAAGCAAGTTAGAGGTTCAGACAACTGGAGTTCAGCCCTCTAGAAGGCTACCAGATGGCGCTGTCTTTTGCATGATATGCCTTCTCCAAAGTTATAGAGCTGGTAGCAGGAATCCTTACTGAGCAATGAGGTAAATGTAGAAACATCACAATTTCATATGTGTAGAGAAATTTACTGCTGTAAAGAAAATATTCATAGGAAAATAAAGATGTGGAAATCAAATAACAATAATAAGTGAATAAACATCCAATACATTAAGGCATAATCACCCTTAAAAAGTATGCCATCAGTATCTTTTAAGGAGGATGACAAAATAGCAGCTCTGTGATATATAAGCAAATGGGCATCAACTACAGCAATTTTTTCCCAGCCTGCACTGTCCCATTTTGTTGGATTACAAACTCCCAAATTCTCAGCCTGGATGGCCTTTGGTTATAGTAGCAGGGAATGAGGAGAGATGGCAGTGCCACACATTTGGGAGACAGCAAGTTGGGAACAGCTATGCTGAGGTCATACTTTGCCTGCTCAACAAACTCTGTGGAAAGTCTTCTTTACTGGAATTAGGACAAGTCCCTCAAGCAGATATCCAAAATTTTATTTTAGCCATTTACTTTTTCCCCATTTCAGATCAGTTGATTTTTTAGTATGAATTATTTAGTCATTATGTATTGTTCTGAAAACCAGAAATATATGAATATACTGCATTTTATCTTGTTGATAAAATCTGAAAAGAACTAATTATTTCTTATTTAAATTACTGCAGATGAAATATTTTAGTGAAACACTTACATAAAACCTCAGGATTCTCTGAGTTTTGCCTGAAGCTGTGGACTTTCACAAGATGTGAAATCTTCCTCTTTATGCATCTCAGGAAATTCTGTCGATTGGCTGTAATCTTCTTTTCTCTTCCTGTGAGTCTGATGTTGTATTAACTTTTCTTGGTTTTCTACTATTAGCCCAACTTCTAAATCCATTATTGTTGATTGTTCTATTTGAAGAGATCCTTTTGGTAGATCTCTTGAGACAATACTTCCTAGCATGTTTTTTTGAGTCTCTGTTGAAACAGCTGTATCCATTTCTAATTGAGGCTTTGAGTCACCATTCTTCCTTTCTGTTTCATTTACAATGTCTTTCACAGTTTCAAGATCAGCATCTGTCTTTCTGGAACTCAATTTTTCTCCATTTTCAGATTCAGTAGAACTTAAAGGCATTTCTTTTGCTACTCTGATGGCTTCTTTTTTCTCTGCAGTTACAGATGTTGGCTGAATTTCATGAGTTTTCTCTTCAGCCACAGAAATCTGCTGACTAACTTGTACATCTTCCTGAATTCCAGATTCATTTCCACTCACTAGACATGCTTCACTCTCCTGCTTTAAAGAAGAAATGGCCTCTTCTGTTTGCTCCAATTTATCAACTGCATTCTGGATTATTTTCTGCACAATTTTTGAACTCTGAGACTCTATTGTTACAGACTGAACATCTTTTGGTAATTCAGTAGAGGGGCTTCTTTCTGGAGTCATCACCTTTTGCTCACTTTCTTCATTAGTTGAAGATTCTGGGAGCTCCATTTTCGAAGTGGAATCAAATACGCACTTCTGGAGTAAGCCTTCTTTGGTGCATCTTACTGCTGATAAAACTGATTCTTCTATCACTGAATCTATTTTCTCTGAAAATGCCACTGCATCAGGATCAGGATACAGAATTCCAGATTCTGAATGAGCAAAGCTTCTAAACTGTATTGTTTTTGATGCTGGCTTTTTTGGCTCTTGTAGTGAAGTCTGCAAGGTTTCAGTTGATGTTTCTGTAAGTGTGACATGTTCTGCAATGACACGCTCTTCTGCTGCAGCTGTTATGGTTACAGAAGATATATAATCTGCATAACTTTGCAAATCATGAATATCAGTGCCAGCATCCTCCTGTTGCTCAGTGAAAGGCTCTTGTATAGGAGCTGCATAAAGCACACCACCTGCAGCAAGTTCAGGTTTTTGTACTGCCTTGTCTAATTCCATTATTTGAACCATCTCTAATAATTGTAGTGTTCCCTGGCAGCCTTCTGAAGCTGCTTTAGACTCTGAAGGTGAACGCACTGTTTCCACAGGCAATTCCTCAAGATGTGTTTCAGTCTTTACAGAGGTATCACTCATATCTGCCTCTTGGACTTCTGATTTTATTTCTGGCAGCTCCCTCTCTCTCTTTTTTTCCAAAATAACATTTGAGACAACACTTTCTATAAATCTAGAGTCTGAGATGAGGAGGTCCCCTTCTTCTTCACTCATGACAGCTTCAGCTACAATTTTTCCTGCAGATTCTCTTCCAGCTGGTAGCTTTCCATTTCCCAACTCATTTTTAACAGAATTCAAAGCTTCCTCATTTTCCAGAGTTTCAGCAGCTCCCTTAGTCTTGCTGTATTGGGGTTCCAAATGGATGAGTGTATCTTCCTTTTCATTCTGCATAAGGCCTTCAGACACACCAGTGTCTATGGCCTCAGTCTCTGAAGGAAGTACTAGTAATTTCTTTTGCATACGGATCTCAATCCCACTTTCCTCAGTACATTTTGATTCCTCAAGCGTGACATCTTTTAGTTCTTCAGTTCCTGAGGCTTTCGCTGAAATTCTTTCTGTACATTGTAATGGAAAAGTAAGATTGGGATCTTCGACATATTTCTGGATTTGATCCATGGCAGTCTGCACAGGTGCTGAAATGTGAAGTAGGTCCCTTTCAGAAGGTTTTTCAAGTACAGCCTCTTCTGTTGGTTTTTCTGCAGTAGAAGAAGCATCTTTTTCTTCTCTCCTTGAAGGCTCATTGGAAACAACAGCATCACAAATTTTAGATAAAGAATCCCCAGAATCTTCCACCTCAGACTGAATTCTGACCTCGTTCATCACATTTTGCAGAGTCTCCTTCAGTTCTAATTCCCTACCGATGGCTTCGGTTACCATCATTCCATCTGACTGTTCTGTGGGGATCTGTGCGGCCCTCTGTTCTGCAGGGACATCTGCATTTGCTTTTTCATCCACTTTCTCTGTGAAGACTTCCACACCAGCCTTTGTGTCCACCTTCTCCATGGAAGCTACTACTTCCTCTGTGAAGAGCTCAGTTACTGTTTTTTCTACAGTGGATTCAGCTGCTGCCCCCTCTGTTAAGTGCTTTCTATCAGCTGGAAGACAATTGAGTATGTCACTCTCATTCTTAGCAATCTCTGCATCCATATTTTCTGCATAGGACTTTATATCCCCTTTCATTGCAAAGATCTCCCCATTCAATTTTGCATCTGCCTGATCCTGTAGGGGCTCTATTATTGTCTTCCCTGCAGGGACATCTGCTTCTACATCTGCATCTGTTTTCTTTTTGGAAGCTTCCTCGTCTACCTTTGTATCTGCCTTTTCTACAGGAACCCCTGATTCTAACTTTGCATCTATCTGTTCTGTGGAAGTTTCCACAAACACTGTTCCATTTACCATCTCTTCAGGAACCCTTACTTCCACTTTCTCAATCTTCTCTACATCTACCTCTACATCAATTTTACCTTGACACACTTCCCTTTCCAACTTTGTATGTGCCTTCTCTGCAGAGAGTTGTGCTTCTTCCTCTTTTAGGTGATCCTCAATAATCACTTTTTCTGTGGGAGACTCTGTTTTTGCTTTCTCTGTGGAGAGTTCCATGTCTACTTTTAATTCTGCTTTTTCCGCCAGGACCTCTGCTTCCCCACTTTGTACCTGGGACTTTATTTCCAGTTCCTCTACATGGTCATTTATTACTTGGGCCTCAGCCTTTGCATTCAGCTTGTGGACATCCATTTCCATCACTTGAGGGGACATCTCTTTTTCCATGGTCTCTGCAAGAATCTGGGTTTCTTCATAGAGTAAGAAAGGTTCTGTTTTCACATCTGTCTGAGAAATCCTGGATTCGAATTTCTGCAACTGAACCTCAGGTCCCACCTTCTGTATATGGGCTTCATTTTTTAAAGAGGTGCAAGAGTCTTTGCTCTGTACACATGCCTCAACTGCAGCTTCCTCTGTACTTCCCGTTTCTGTACCAAATGCAACATCTTTAACTGTACTTGGTGGAACTTCAGTGAGCTGGCTCTGGATAGCTGCTTCAGGCACAAATACTTCAGTCTGTGGAGATTCTGTTAAAAGACCAAAATCTCTTACTTCATTCTGTGCAACAGCCTCATTTACTTCTACTAAAATTATTTCTGAGGGCTGTGATTCTAAGTCATATAAGTTGTTTTGTATTTCTTCCTGTTTCTGATGTACCTGAGACTTCTCATCACATGTTACTTGTTCTAATTCATCCATTTCTGGAACACTCTCTGTAACCTTATTTTGAGTAGTTTCTTCTAAATTCATTATGATTTCCTGCATTGTATCTGTACTCTTGTACTCTTCACTGTCCATTTCTTTTAATAACATTTGTTGCTTTTCAAAGGTGTCACTAACTTCTATTTCTGGTTGCTCGTCAGGGGTTACTGTGACAATGACAAATCCTTCATCAGATTTTTCTTCAACTGTCTGTTCTCCAATTATGTCTTCATATTGTTTTACAGATTCTTGTTCAGTCTTTGGATGATGACTTTCAACCAACTCCAAGCTAGTGATCAGTTCTGACTCTTCTTTCCCTTCTACTAACATTTCATTACTCTTTTTTAACACCTCCTTCAGACCATCTTCTTTAACTTTAATCTGAGTTTCACAGCTTTCTGTAACTTCATTAATTTGAACAACCTCATTTAATGGCAATTCCACTTCTTTAGATATGGCAGAAATTTCATGTCCAATTTTCTCAGCTGATAATGGCTGAACTGTTACTTCTGTCAGATCTTCACTAATCCCCTTTCCATCGGACAATTTAATTCTTTCAGCAACTACTTGCAACCTTTCCTGTGTTTGTTTGTTTAATTCTTCTAGATCTTGCTCACTTTCCTCTATCTCCTGCACTGGTGTAGCTATTTCTGTAGTATCAGGGGACTCAGTTAGCCTTGAAACTGCTGAAACCATTTCAGTTGTCTCTTCAGCACAAGATATTTCAGTTGTTTCTTCAACGCCTGAAGCTTCTTCTCGAGCTGTAACTGCTTCTGAGGTTAACTCCAGTTCACTGACTATAGTATCACCACTAATATTCTTTCTCATATGTGGTATAAGTTTAGTAACCACTACTGTTTCTTCAACAATTCCAGTTCCAGAAATCTGCTCAGATTTTTTCTCATCTTCATTCACATGTTCAATAGACTCTGTCACAGCAGCTGATATCCAAGATGGTGATCTTTCTTCAATACTTGTAACTGCTCTCTCACCCTCTACCACTGAGACAGCAACTGCATGAACTAATCCTTCACTGGCCTGCTCAATTATTAATGTACTTTCTGACTTTTCTATATTTTGACTTGAAGTTTTCTTATCTTCTTGCTCTGTTTTTTGAGCTACAAATTTCTCTTGCTCAGCAGCTTCATACTCTGATAAAGGAACAACTGCCGGAACATCAGAGTCCTCCTCGTTTGTTCCTGTAATTTCTTCTCCAGCTTCTTGAACAGGAACATGTTCTGGTATTCCATCAGATTTTTTCTTCCTACGACCAGGCATTAATTTTTTAAATGAAACCCAGGATTCTTCTTTTCCAGCATCCCCATCTAAGGTAGCATGTTCTAAACTTGGAACTGTGGTGGGTTCATCATTTTTCTCTTCCATCTTTGTTTTAGATTTTCTTCTTGGAGTTACTAGTCTTTTAAAAGATTCCCATGTCGAAACACCCTCTGTTTCAGACGGGCTTCCTGCTTGTTCTGGTGAAGAATTTCCTTGTCCTTGATCACTTTCCTGTGAGTTAGTAAAGATAATGTCATGTACTGCTTCTTTATTTGGTGCACCTTCATCTAATTTTTGTCCATCTTGAGCAAGTCTTTGTCCTACTTCTTCATCAGAAGATGAAGATTTTCTGGTTCTTTTCTTTGATGAGCCTACGCAGATTAAAGCTTCCCATGACACAGAAGTATCAACTTTTCTCTTGGGCTCATCTGCACTTTTTTCTATTTTTTGTTCCTCATCATTTTCTTTAATATCGTCCTGTTCATCATTAGGTGCACTTTCAGTTGAAGACAAAGTAGCACTCTTTGTCTTATCAAGTTCTTCTTCTCTGTCACTTTCAGAAAGTCTCCTGACACGTTTCTTAGGAGTCACCATTTTTTTAAATGATGCCCATGGTGTAACACTTTCTCTTTTCTTCTCTGCATCTGAAGGAGATCCTTCTTCCCCTTCAGGAATCTGTGCAGCTTCTGAGGCCTTTTCTACAGATTCCATCATTTCTTCAGGGGAAGAAGCAGAGCTTTCTGCCCTTGGGTCGTCTGGGCTTTCGGCAGAATCAGACAACTGCTGTATTTGCTCTGCTGCTTCCCCTAGCTTAGCTTCTTCTTTCTTTCCTTTATGTTTCTTTCCCGACAATTTCTTTAAGCCAGTCCCTGTGAAAAGCTTTTTCAAAGGGCTGCCTTGCATCTTGGCTTTTTCTTGGGATGACAGCAATTCCACCTCACTTGTTATGCCTTCTGGAGCTTTGTGTGTTGCTGCATCAAGGTTGTTTGGATCTGTTTGCCTGAAGTGTTCCTTCACTATTTCAGGAACGGTTTCTATGATTTTTAACTGTTCAACGGTGTCAACAGTGGGTTGCTCTTTCTGAAAGTCATCCTTTGTTTTGACTAATTGTTCAAGAACCAGTTGTTCTTTTTTAGTTGTTTTGGGTTCTTCTTTTGTCACAACCTCTGTAGGTTTTTCATCAAAAATTTCTGTGGCCAGAGGAGCCTTTGGTTCTGACTTTTCTTCTATTATTTCAAAAGGTTCCTCAGGCTTTTCTACTGTTACTGGAGACAATGAATCAGATTGGTTTATTTTTTCTTCAAATACTTCATTTAACAAAGGAGCTCCCAGTTCTGTTTTTTCTTCAGACAACGCAACAGTACTTTGCTCTAAGCCTATTAGACTCTCTTGCACCGGTTCCAATTTTTCCTCTAACTCCAGGTCAGTCTTCCCTTTCAAGCTTATATCAACTTCTTTATTTATATTTTCAGCCACTTCTTCTGTTGATGGTTGCTCACCGGGAGTAGCAGCTTCTTTCAGATTGGTTTCTGTTGAGACTTCTATCATTTTTGTTTCTTCTTCTCTCTCTTTCTCACTTTCCATTTTCACATCACTGGCTTCTAAAGAAACTTCTGTCCTATCTTTTTCTGGTGAGAGTTTTTCTTTTTCTAATTCTTCTTTAGTAACTATTCCTTCTATTGTCATTTCTTTTTCTGATTTTTGCTCTTGCTTTTCTTTCTCAGTTTGCGGTTCCTCTTCTTTAGGTTTTCTGAAGCTTGTCCTTTTTCTAAACCCAGCCCAACCCTGAGTAAAAAACTTTCTTAGGGGTGACGCAGTTTCACTAGTTAATGGGCTTACTGGAGACTCTGGAGACTTATTCCCATTCGTTTTAATTTCTGCCTCTTTGCTTTCTGCTTCAACAGGGCTTTCTGCTACTTTCTCAGAGGTTTTTTCTTTCATCTCCTCAGTCTGAGTTTCTTCCTCAGTCTTCTCTACAAAGTCAAGTATTTCACTTTGTGTGGCTTCTTCCTCTGTCTCTGTCTTGAATTCTTTATAATCTCCAGCTCCATCATATGACCCTTCTGTGACCTCTGCTTTTACATTCAACAGCTGAACAGGTTCCATTTTCTCTGTTTTATCCTTTTTAACTGTAAATTTGAATCCAACTAATTTAAAAACCTTTTTAAATCCAACATCATTTGATGGAGATTCACTAGGTTGCTCTTCTTTTTCTTCTGATGGCAGCTGTTTATTAGCATCTTCTATGTCTTTCTGTTCGTCATCATTTGATTTATCATTTAATTCTGGTGGGTTAATCTCCATATTTTCAGTAGACTCCTCTTTCAGAATCACATTTGCAGCTTCTCTTTGACCAACTGTAAAAGATATTCAAAGGTGGTAAGAATTTAGAAATGCCATTATTATAATTAATTAATTACATGTGGAAGTACAATAATCCCTTATTCTGTTAACCTATACAGTTTTCTAGAAGTAAGTTCCAATCACACTGCAGCTATTATGTTAAGTGTATTGAAGTTAATGAGTATATGTGGATTTAAGTCTCACTTCATTTTTGCAGTGATAAATTTTGTATTTATAATAAGAAAACCAGTAATAAACATAATTTCTAAGAAAATTTCAATTCAGGGTTGGTTTGTTAGCTTACCATTTGTTTCTTGAATGCTTACTAACACACAGTTTTCTTCATTAAGTCACATCCTTTCTAAAGAAATGAAATTTAGATATTAACAAGTACAGTGCTCAGGAACTAAGCTGGAAAGAGTTTTGTAGTACAAAATCTGCTTTGTTTAAAAAATATTTTGAGAAGCAGCAGCTTCTTAACTGATTATATGTTCTAGGAGAAAAGGTAGAGTGTCAGTAATGGAATTTATAAGAAAAATATGGATAATAGAAAGTTGTAGTTTATATATGGGATATATGGATAAAAATGATTTTGCACAATATAGATTGGAAAGGTGGATAAAACATGTCTTACTTCTCATGTTTTGACATAGTAATTCTACATCCTGACATCCTTCTTTCAAATTTTAAGAAGAATATATTTTAATGATAATTTCCATGATTTTTTATGCAAGCTATGTGTTATGACTCTGCACACTTCAAAAATGGTTCAAAATAAGTGCTTCAGACCTTGTGCAAGTAAGGGACAGCTCATAATATAATTCTTAAAGGAGCTGAAATGGTTTTTCAGGCTTGTATGGAAAAGGGATCATGTGCTTTAACAAACAACATAGAGGTGATTACACAAGGCCTAAGTACTTCTTCCAAATAATTTTCAAAGAACACACTGTCCTCGTCTGTAGGAATGGGGCTCTATTTTGTGTGGATAATGCGATCGTGAGGTTGTGCAGTGTCAGAAACAGGCCAGTGGCATAGCTTCACTTTTAATTAATTATGTAGTTGTCTGAAAGATGCTCAAATTGTGGTCTGATATACAATTTTTGAATGAGTAGTTACTGAACTCATTATTAATATCCTGAACATTGTACATAATTTTTTGTATACAATTCCGGTTATGCTCCAAGTTGAAGCCTAGAGCATTAGAACCCATTTTTCCCCAACCATTTTCTCTGTTATCATTTTATCTTTCAAAGCCCTCATACTATAGATCCTGTCTTTGGGAAATGAAACATTTGATGGAGACCATTATGATTTATTCACTAGAAGCATTTTTTAAAACCCGAAACAGCTTCCAGAGAGGACATTCAATAAAACAAGGAGACACCTGCCTAGGGAATACATTTCAAAATACATAAAAGGGTGAAAGAGAGAAAAGAGCATTAGCAATGTTAGTACTGTATTTAGTATGTGCTTATCTCTAAGCACAGTACAAGACCTATTTCTGCTACCACCACCCACAGCAACCCTGTGAGGTAGGTTGGGCTGAGAGAGTGATTGGCCCAAAGTCACCAAGTGGGCTTTGATGGCTGAGGCTAGAACAGAACCTTCGTTTTCTCCATCCTAGCGTATTACCGTAACACTATAGTACACTGGCTCTACAAGATGAAAAAAAAACCTTGTAAATTTGGACATGATTTCTTAAAGAGATGAATTTTTTCAAGATTTCTTACATTTCTATAGCATCAATCAGAAAATCATGCAAAAACAAAAAAAAATTGACAATGATTTGAAACAACTTGAATCAAGACACAAGCAGAACCCATGTTAGCACATTACAAAAAGTTATGGAAATGTGTAAATCACTAGATCTTTTGGAAACAAAGGAGACTTAGCAGAAGATAAATTTCGCCAAATAGGAGTATTTCAAGAAAGGTAATAAATCAGACTAATTATTAGCTTATCAACTGAGAAAAAAACTGAAGAAGAAAATGATCATCTCAAATCTGGGATGATAAGAAGTACATTTCAACTGCAGATGAGGTGACGAACCAGTTTTTTCATCAGACAGACTTCCTGCAGTACACTATAAGCCTTTCAAAGAAATCCTAATAAAACTGTTAACTCAGGTAATTAATGAACTATAGCAATGCCAAACAGTTCCTCCTTAATGGCAAGAGGCTTTTATATCTCTTATATATAAAGAAGGGAATGATCCAACCTTCCAGTGTCATCCAGACCTATTTCTTTATTGAATGCTGATTCAATAAAGCATAAACATTTTAACAGCTATCCTGATAGGAAGATTAAATACTCTCCTAGCAGACACAATATGCTCTTAACAGACAGAATTTGTTCTGAAACAATGAAAGACAAGATACATTTTGAATGTTATTGATTATAGTAATCAGAAAAATACAAAAGCAGAAATTGTGTTTCTTGATGCAGAAAAAGCTTTGGATAATTTGGAATGGTCTTTTACGCTTTTGGTGTTGAAGTTGATGAACTCTGGCTCAATTTTTTAAAATCATGGATTCAGAAACAAAGAGCAAAGATAATAGCAAATGGATTTAAAAGTATAACTCCAGTCTTATTTCCTCTGGCTTCTATAGTAAATATATAATTTCATGAAGAAGAAAAATTGATCAACAGAGAGAAAACTCTTACAACCTGCAAGATTTAACTATTAACAAAACCAAAAAATGTAATCATTAAAGGTTTTCTCCTTAGAATGGTTAGAAGTGTCTTCCTGGTTTCAGTATCTCCAAATACTCCAGAAAGAATTACAAAAACAAGGTAGTGAGCTTGCAGACTTGACTGAATTTTAAATTTTGTGTTATACCGTATTTTTCCGACTATAAGACAATACATTTTTCTAAAATCCTTACGCTAAAAATTGAAGGGCGTCTTATTCAAGGAAGTCAGCC